ATTTTAATTAGGTTTCAGTATCATTAAACATAATATTAAAGAATGTTTTATTTATAGCTTTTAATGGTTATAATATTAAATACATTATATATTCGTGCGTTATACAATAATTAGAATATAATATGAAAGTAATATTGTCGAAAATAACGATCGATGGTATAATAATACAATGATTATCGATCGTAAAGTGATAAATAATGAAATAGAAAAAAATAAGCGAAAAACAGCTGATAATATGTGAACGCACAGCGGTTGAGTATGAACGACATGCGTACCAACGAGGCGATTTCTGGCAGAACGCTACCGGCTACGAGGAAAAACAGAAAATCATAAACTATTAGAGAAGCGCCGCGCCACCGCGGCCAGTGGTCCGAATCTAGGAAACGCGTTTTGGGATCTCCATTCCAGCGACGACGCCGTTGGACTGTTCCTCCGGCTGGACCGTGGTCGATGTCAATGGTAAAGGTTGCGGCATATGTTGCCCGCGACCCAATGGGGCCGTGGCCGCGGCCGCGTAAGCGTCGGCGTCCAAGTAGAAGTCTTTCCGATATCGGTCGTACTGTTCCGGTTCCCCCTCTCGCTCCCGGTCGCGTCGGTCTTCGCCAGGGACGTTTTCGTTGTTGGCCAGGGTGATCGGCAMCCTGGGGGACTGTTCGGCGGAGGAAGTTTGCCGTATCGGTGAAGAATAAATGTCCCAGAAGAAGTTGTAGCACATGGTGGAAAGAAGTTCGTTTTGCAATTGATGTTGGATCGTCATCGGCGTTCGGCTGTCGTCGGGCGATGAGTATGATATAGTGCGGCGCTGCCTGTCCGTCTGGTACCGACGACGCTGTGGGATCTGCGGGTGCTGGAGCCCAGGGACGCCGCTGTCGATCGGAGCCGCGTCGGACTGCACTGGTTGAAGGAACTGCGGCATCTGTTGCTGGTACTGTTGTGGCTGCTGTTGTTGGTGAGGCTGGTGCTGTTGCTGCTGCGGTGAGTGGGCCTGGTACTGGTGTTGCAGSGGCTGCTGTTGCTGGTACTCGAACAAGTGCGGATACTGTTTGCGGTGCAGGACCAACAGCCACGGCATCCGCGATGAAGCGGCCGTCAGGAGCACAGTCATTGTCACATTAATGAACGACGCCCTCAGCTTTTCGTCACGGTCCAGCCGCTTGACAGTTTCGGGCGTGACCAGCACGCCGAAGTGCTCGGCGTCCTCGTCGTCCCTGGCCGCCGACGGTTTGCCATTCTGCGGTGGCAGAGACCTATCGCTCATCGGCGGCGGCCTCACCTCTTGTATGCCGCCGGTCGTCACGAACGCGTCGTACTCGCCCTTGTCCTTGTCCAGCTCTCTGATTATGAACACCGGCCCCATGTACTCAGATTCCGGTCCTCTGTGGCCTCCACCATTGTTCGCGGGTCCTCTGACTGGTGGTGTTCGGTTAATGCTGCTGCTGCTGGACGACAGCCCTGCAAAAAGGTATGACAGTGAAATTGTTGTGGTAAGCGCGCGAGTGATAGTGTGTGTGTGTGTATATCAATTTCGAAAGACATGATTTTATAACGATATTTGACAACTGTATTTATATTTTAAATGTATGGATTTAACGATTATTATATTGAATAAATTTATAAATATTAATATGTATAATGCACAGAGTCCTTTAAATACTAAATACCCTAATCAATCACTTTGGATTTTCGCCTGTACATGTATCAACTTAATTGGCCTTAATTATCAGAAAATTGCAGACAATTTAACAGTAGGTACCTAAATAGATGAAATGACTATATCTGCATAATAATAATAATAATATAATGTTATCCCCGTCTTACAATATACCAATTAGTTCTGGGATAACCGATTTAGGAAGTCTGATTTAAGATTAGACCAATTAATTTATTATCTGACAAGATCATATCATCTGTGTTTGTATGTTGATGTAGTAAGATATTTATTTTTTTAATGARTTAGTATAATAATATACATTAACTACTATTTGTATATATATGCTTTTAAATTGAAAATTTCACGGTTGATAATAGAATCATTAATCAGCCCGGGGCAATATTAGTTTTTGGAATAATAAACATTTTCATTAAATTTATAAACAACTTGTTGTGTTGTTTAAATATAGAACATATGCTTTTTATACAACTTATAGTACGATCAACAATATGCTACTGTATTTAACTAATGCAATACAATTGTATGTAATTTTTAAAACTTGTTGACTTACTTCACAAAAATCAAATATAATTGGTGAAAATAGCCAAAATATACGTAGTAGAAATATACCTACATTTATACATTTATTGTTTAAGGGTCACATAACATCATATACATATAGATTTAAAATAATAAATAAATATAATTTAATGTTTAAAAAGGAAAGAAAAAAATAGTGATATTGGCCTTTTTATACTAAGTTGTACAATTATTGAAATTAAGAACTGTATAATAATGATGATGGTAGGTCTAATAGAAATATATCGCGAAACCAATTGATTTTTACTTAGAAATAAGAAAAATATGTATAAYATAAAAAGATCTGTTAAGAGTGAACATTTCCTTGGTGGAATTTTGTCCATATCTAATACTTTTAGTATCTTGTGTCAGATGAAAATGTTTGTATTTGGTATACCTACCTAGTAAATTTTATGCTTCACTGAACGAAATAACGTCATGTTGGATTATCAAATCACAAAAACCAACGTCCAAATTCGAATTTTTCTTACATTAATATAGAACCTAACCTTTATTATCACTAACCTTGATTTTTCCCCAGACATTTTATTTTTATTATCGAATACGGGTTTGAATAAAAAAAATACTACACGTGCCATGAACAATGTAA